CCTTGTGTGTCATAATGGCCGCCGTTGATCTAATCCAATTGATAGATTTGAGTCTTGGAGAGCAGCCATGTAGTGCCGTTAATTTTAACTATCTACAAAGAGTCTTGCATGAGATTGTGAAGCGACTGATTGTTCTAGAGGACACTCAACTCCAACAACAAGTGTTCCTGGGCTGGAACCCTATCCATAAACCACCGGATATTACCAGAAAGCATCATGTTCCTCCTGTTATTGTTGGAGGAGGTGATCGAGCATTCCCTGCAAGTTTGCAAGCAGAAAGCACAGATTCCTCACCTATTCATCTTCACCATGACCCCACTACTGCTCCAGTACCTGGACAAGTTGCTGGAATAGGACAAATTCCTGGTCAGGTTACTACTGGAACTGGACAAGTTGTCACTGGAACTGGACAAGTTATCGCTGGAAGTGGAGGTCCTGGACAAGCTGCTGGAACTGGACAAGTTGCCGGAACTGGACAAGTTGCTGGAACTGGGCAAGTTGCTGGAACTGGACAAGTTGCTGGAGTTGGACAAGTTGCTGGAGCTGGACAAGTTGCTGGAGCTGGACAAGTTGCTGGAACTGGACAAGTTGCTGGAACTGGACAAGTTGTTGCTGGAACTGGACAAGTTGATGGAGCTGGACAAGTTGCTGGAACTGGACAAGTTGTTGCCGGAACTGGACAAGTTACTGGAACCGCTGGAACTGGACAAGTTATTGTTGGAAGTGGAGGTCCTGGACAAGCTGCTAGTATTGGAACTGGACAAGTTGCTGGAACTGGACAAGTTGCTGGAACTGGACAAGTTGCTGGAACTGGACAAGTTGTTGGAACTGGACAGGTTGGAGGACAAGTTGGAATTGGACAAGTTGGAGGACCAGTTGGAGGACAAGCCGTTGGAGTCGGACAAGTTGGACAAGTTGGAGGACCAGTTGGACAAGTTCTAGGACCAGTTGGACAAGTTGGGGGACCAGTTGGACAAGGTGGGGGACCAGTTGGACATGTTGGAGGACCAGTTGGACAAGTTGGAGGACCAGTTGGACAAGTTGGGGGACCAGTTGGACAAGTTGGGGGACCAGTTGGACAAGTTGGGGGACCAGTTGGACAAGTTGGGGGACCGGTTGGACAAGTTGGAGGACCAGTTGCAGGACATGTTGGAGTTGGACAAGTTATGGGACAAGTTGGAGGACCAGTTGGACAAATTGGAGGAACTGGTGCTGGTACTGTAACTGGACAAACCCCTGTTGATACGACACCATTACATTCTACTGCATCATCAGTTCATTCTGCAGGACCTATATCATCAGTTGACTTCATTGGACGTCCTCCTTCTAGTGGTGCCTTCCCTCATCCTCAAAGCTCATTTCGAAGTCGGACTAATATTGTGACAGCAGCCAATGACTTGAGTGCTCTTGAAAGAAAGATCCAGAATTTGGAGTCACGAGTTAATTCATTTGATAGTCTTCCAGAGATGCTAGAAAGAAAAGGATCTGATGCTAATGCTACACCAGTCAAAGACATGTGGAATTTCACAAATCTTACCAATAGAATTACTAGCACAGAACAAAACATGGCCAAAGTAAGAAGCATTAGTTATTAATGACTGTTAGAATGTAATTATAATAGAGCTCACAATTATTTGATGATATGCTTGGAGAAATTCAAGCACTAAAGCAAAGGATAAATGATATGGAAAATTCAATGGGTCATCATATTGACTCCCTCAATAGCAAGGTGAGCAAAACAGCAGTGTGTACTTGTTAATTCTCAGTACTGACTTGCAATGCAATTAATACATAATGTACATGTACATATACGTGTGTCCTACATGTAGTTCCTTAGTTTGTACATGTATATTATCAGTGAGTATATATGCACTGTACACATGTACACAATGTACATCTACAATGTACATGCATGTCATTTGTGAAAAATTTTACAATTAAGCACTTGCACGTGTATGCTTCTTTGCAAATATTGATGTAGGTCTCTGCCAGCTCAGAAAACTTGGAGCAAAGATTTAAAGATCTAGAGTCATTGAAACTGACCTCTGGTCCAACTGACAGTCCAGCAACAGATGCATTAATGGGTAACTAATTATTATAATACATCTACATGTACACACGGAAACATAATTATGTGCATAATGTAATTTCTTCTTTTTAGCATTCATAAATGAGTTAAGGCAAAAGCTAGAAGGACTGCAAAAGAAATCAGGATCACTCCAAGTATACTAGCACATACAATATGGACAATGATTTTATCTTATGATTAGGAGAGTATAGATTTATTAGAAAAGAAGATATCAGACACATCGTTACTTGATGATCTTCATAAAACTCTTAAAGAGCATCAAAATACTACTGAGAGTGCAATATATCAGATAAATGAGAAAATTAATTCATTAGCATTACAATCATACTGTGAAGCATTGAAGGAATGTAACGACCAAAACACATCAGAATTAGGGAAACTATCAGCCCATATGAAGGAAATTGAAGTAAATAACACAAACATTATAGCTTACTTACCTTAAGCTATAGTACAGTTAAAGTATTATTTATGCTAATTTGTTTTATAGTCTGCTCTGATGGAAAAAGTGAATGCATCTGATTTAGCATCACTGATGCCTACCAGCAGTGATGGTGAGGGAACTGCTAACCTCATGGCTAAGCTACTAGAAATGCAAAATAAACTGATACACTTGGAAGGTAACAAAATAATACTGTACATGTACACGTACATTGTACATGTGTATGCATTATGAATATTAAGTGAATGATGTACTTATTGCATGTATGACACTTTACACTTTATTGAGTATTACTGAAAGTATGCATACTGCAGTGTACATGTACATGTACATGTATATCAATAATAACTGTTGAAGGTGAATAATTTGTTATACAGATAGTATGAGTAAGCAGCCCTCAGTACCTGCTGATTTACTGGACAGGATCACTGCTATGCAAAATGCTATTGATCATTTAACAAATCAAATAAGGGCAAGTTGCTATGTGACAGTATGAAATAAGAATCATTTCTATTATTTCTCATTAACAGGCTCTTGGTGGATCATCTGGTGGTGTTGATAGCAGTCGATTGGAGGAATTAGGATTACAGTTAGCGCAAATGAGAGAAAGAATGGAGGAAATGGACAGAGCTGTATCTGCACTGAACAATGCAGTATCATCTAATAAGGTACATGTGTATTTATTATAAATCCCAATAATTATTATAAAAATTAGTTTTGCATCAGTTGTAATACATACATTTTCTTTCATTGTCTAATTTTTCTCAATTTTCTTACTCTTTCTTTTTGTCTTACACATGCATATATGCACATTAATTTATGTACATGTACATAAAGTGCATGTATAGTAAGTACACTGCATATACACATATACAAAATACATGTGCATATATCTACATGTACGTGTATGTATAATTTCATTTATTCTCTCTCTTTTTTTCCTTTTCAGAGTAAACCTGTTTCTAGCCCTGTTGGTCAGAATTTTGCTGACCAGCAGTCACTCTCAGAATTGACACAGTTAGTGAATGGAATGCAGCAGGAACAGGAGAGATTGATTGGCACTGCTGCTCATCTCTCACACGAGCTGGACATCAGCAAAGAACACACAAAAGTACAATGCATTTCTGACTAGTGCATTGTACATTAATGTACATGTACCATTGATAATAGAAAATGTACATAATATTATGTAGTTGACAATTTTACACGTAAGGTATTAATCAGGAAAATGTAAATTCACTAAAATACATACATGTATACATGCTCATTTAGAAATGCTATGTACATGTACATGATACAATGTATCAGAGTTTCCCACAGGACTTCAGCATAATGTTCAAGCATCTTCTTGTCATTAAATTTTAAAGTACTATAATACATGGGCAAATGGTCAAATTTTGTCAAAAACGGCATGAAGAAATTTCTCATTATTTTTATGCACAATATGTACATTGTACTTATTTTGCATGAAAAAGTTTGAGTGAAGTCCAATCAAAATTGAATTTTTACAAGTTTCTAAAGCTGCTCAATAATTGGGCGAAAAACCATCTTTCGCTAAATTTTGGCAAGGAATTATACATTTTAATAATACATATACCGTATACGTTCAAATTTTCGAGGGTTCAAAATTTCGTGTTTTCAATGAAATTTGCTCAAAAGTTAATATTCGTGTGAGCTAATTTTCGTGTTCTGGCCATAGTCTAGATACAATAGAATGGCATTAGAGGTGGTTTAAATTTCGTGGATTTAAGGTGAGCACGAAAATAACGAAATTTAATACACCTCGAAAATTAAGACGCGTACGGTACATGTACTTATGTTGTGTAGAAATTTTGAGTGGATTACAATCAAAATTGGATTTTTTTACAAATTTAAAAATAATTGCTAAAAATTGGATCAAAGACCGTGTACTTGTTTTGATGTTGTGTATCTACATGTGTAGTTTAAGCTAATTCTGGTCCAAATTGGATTTTTTAAATAAATTCTGTTGCTCTAAAACCATGCATGTACATGTACATACATGTGTATACTATTATTGTAGTACATGTAAGCTCATGAAGCATGCTGTGTGGGAAACCCTGCAATTTATGTGCATGTAAATGCAACTACATGTATATACATGTACGTGTAGTAATATTTTGATCAGCAAAGCACATTGTATATGTACATGTACTTTTTTAGACATTATATTCAGAAGTTGATCAGTTGAAGTCAACCAAAGCTGATAGGGATCAAGTTGCTATTGAAGTTGAAGAGGTAAGTAAATTTTAGAAATGTTCATGTACATGTAGATGTATGTACAGTACATGTACAACATGTACATGTACATGTAGTCCAGCAGAAATTGATGCTGATCTACATGTACATACATGTACATGCATTTTAATTTGTTAGTGCCAAAAATGTTCGATTGGCCGAAGACATGCCAAATCATTTGCACTACTGTATATACACATGTAGAAAAATAATTATTAAAATCAATATACATGTACATGTACAAGTACATTTACATTAATTATAATCAACTAAACTTTGTATGTACATGTAATGTACAGTACCTTTATGTCTACCTATGCTGCCCTTAATACATGTATGTGTATTCAACAGAAAGCTGACAGAGTTGCTTTGGAGGGTAAAGCCAGTAGAGATTGGGTTGACTCAACATTTGAACGTCTTGATCGCGAGATACGAGATGCTAAATCACATTTACTTGGACAGGAAGAAGCTTTTAGGTATATTACATTTACACACACACATTACTCTACATGTACATGTACATGTGTATAATTTATATTGTCATTAAACTCATTATTCATGAAACTGTACATACAATGTACATGTACATGTAGGTCACTCATATGACTATAGAAAGTGCTATAGTGAAGGGGCGTAATGGAACTAAACTTACCCTAAGCAAAATAAAGTTTAATTTGCCTTACTTGTATAATGTGTACTTCACTTTCATTAGTAGTTGTTACAGTACTGAGTACAATGAGTTTACATACACAATGATAATGTTCATTAAATGTGTAACTCACCCTTCCTTAATTCCAAGGGCTTCAGGGTGTGAGTAACAACAATCAGCAAAATATCATCCCACTGTTTATGACAAAGTACTGTCAGTTAAAAATCCCTACTATGACAGTGCAGTGAACTGTAAATTGCACATGTATTAGTGCTGTTAAGTATAATTTATAATATCAATGTACCATGACCATACTGACCTGTACAATAATGCTGACATGTATATTGTTAAATACCATTATTGCTATACAAGTACGTAATGCATCCTTATTGATTGTTACAGGACAGCGGTATCTCAGATTAATGAAGATGTCGATGGGAAATTAGATCGTTTAGAATTAGAGCCATTGAAGAGTTACTTTGGTAGGTTGATACATCATTATAGTGTGAAATTATTTCATATCTTAATAGACAAGAAGTTTGACAAACTTAAAGTTCCTACAGTAGTACCTGGTGGGGAGACTTTAGCTGATGATGCTGCTGGATTCCGTAAACCTTTAAGATTCCGTTGCATATCATGTGATAAACCACTGGGGTTGAAACCTAATGAGTAAGTTACATCTACTTTCTTATAGTAAATATATTTAGGAGGTTCATTCCCTTTTATGATACATGTACATGTACACATGTACAATAGTACTATCTTGCATATTGTATGTACATGTACACAATGTACATGTATCAATTTAATTTTCTATTACACACTTACATATACATTGTACATGTATGTGATTAAGGTTTTGACTGACAGGTATATGTACTGTATAATGTCACATTGTGCTTCTCTCTGTATCTTCTCACTTCTTCTAGTGTTGTTCCCACATTACCTCAAATTGAAATGCTTCCTGGAATAAGATCCTTCCGTCCTTACACAACTTATGAACTTGAGATGATACGAAGACATCAAAGAATGTAATCACAGACACATACATGTACACACAATCACACATGTACATCTACAATCAACATTATTATGATCAATTGTTATGATGTATACACATGTACTGTATATATGTAGATTGTATATTACATTTACATGTAATTAGTATACAAATGCCAGTATTTCAATTCACTCTATTATTCTTTCTTTCCCCACTAGTGGTACACAGTCAGGTATGATGGTATTGCCTCCATTCCCAGCTACCATTAGAAGTGCTGGTGGTAGTCACACTCTCACTCGACCCCATCAAAGGGTTAGAGCCACCCCTCTCTCATCAGTGTACACACTTGATGGTACTCCACTACCTGCTCCTCCACCTCCACCAACCAGCCACATCAAAAGAAGGTACACATGTACATGTACATGTACAGACTATTGTAAAACATGTTGTGTACCATTCTTGGTAAAATCCACACACAGACATTTAAAAGCACTACTATACATGTGCATGAATGTTTTTATGCATGGTTGTGCAATATTCACATGTACATGCACATGTACATTACAAGTACAGTATATACACACATACTGTACATGTACATGTATACTGTTGCTATGCAATTACACATGCAATAATAATTTTTAGTGCTAACATTCATGATGAAATGGACATTATCGGACAAGATGGTCACATATACAAGGGAAGAGCTGGTGCTAAAACATCTACCACAATATTAACAGCAGTACCTAAGGTATTATTACTATTATAATTAATTTTCATTACTATACTTTCTCTTAATTCTTAGCCACGTGAGCGATCAGCTGGTAGGAGATCAAAGGTCCCACCACGTCCTCCATCAACCATTCCAACCCCACAACATGTACAGTAGTTACTTTTCACTAACATGATAATAATAATAGTTGTAACGATAGATACTTTTAAATTAATTTTAATTGTTGTAACAATAATTGATTGATAATTTTGGAAAAATAATTATTATAATTTTAAAAGAATTAAAAAAATGGCGTCAACTGCATTCAGTCCAGCTTTGAGAGATCAAGCTGCTTCATTAATAGGCCAATATCTTTTGCAAGGCTACCGCATGTTAGCTGAACACTGTGGGGAATGCACTGTGAGTTATTATCAGTGATTGATAATCCTATTAGTCAATAAGGCAGACAGTACTGGTACAGAAGCAACGTAACAAGCCACTCTGTGTTTTATGTGAAGAATTGCTTCCTGAACGAAAAACACAAACACTTACATCAACAACAGGTGAGGGGACAGATGATGATTATAATTAATTGAAATACCCTTCAGATATATCAAAAACTGATAATGAAGAGCCAGATAGTACAGCATGTCACGGGGGGAACCCTCCATCCCCAACCCCTCTTCCTGCTCTTCCTCCTCTGGTGATAACTGATGATGATGCTAAGGGACATACCAGTATTGAGGGTGTGCGTGAGATTCTACTGAAGAAAATGACAGTAGCTGCTCGTCAATTAGAAACAAGTCAATCAGTTGAGTATAGTAGTCATTTATGTCAGCTGATAAGAGAGTGTGCAAATACAATTAAATCTCTTAAAGACATTTAATAGTCTATGTAATTGTTTCGTATTTTGTAACATAATTTTTTTCAAATGTATGATGAGTGATGACAAAATTTTTGTGGATGACAGTGTCACGATTTTATCTTCAGGTGAAAATTTTAAAAATTAATTATGAGACACATTGCAAAATATTGTTGTATGCATGTATCAACCACATTTGGCTTGATCAATGAATAAACTATACATTAACATGTGCCAAATGGTCATTCTCAGTCTGCCACAGCAGTCGTGCTTAGTGATGCTGTCCTTGCTGACCTTCCAATTTCCTCTAACTTGTTTAATATAGATACATCCACTGTAGGTAGGAGGCTATGGATCTAATAAACAAATAAAGACTTTAAACTTGCTCACTAAGGAAATATAAACAAATTGTAGGAGTAGAGTACTACAAACACAATAATTATTAGCTGCCATGTCATTCCCGTCACTCAAAGTTAATACACATGCATATTGTACACAGCCAAGAGTTTATGATTGAATCATGAATGCTGATCCGACCTAATGCATCCTGAATCATGGATTTTGGGCAGCTAACACTGCAATGACCCTAGCAGGATCTATCAGCCTTGATACAATTATGTTGGAATACATACTGGTTCAGCCAGAGCAACAGGCATGATTTAGCAACGATACTTGTCAGATTGTATCAATACTGTAATCAGACTCTATTCATTGATTTTGGGCAGTGCCTTGTATCATACATGCTAACCCTTGGCTGTGTAGATTTAAAAAATAATTAGTGGTTAATATTTGGAAGGGGATTGCCCATATTGTGTAATGTCAATATTGCATTGATGTTATACTGGTGAAGGGTATCTTAAAGAGAAATGATAAGGGGATTTCTCCAATTCCTTAGGCCTGATAAGTCTGTATTAATTAAAGATGCAGAAACTTTACAAGTTTTAAGTAATTTTCACTTCACATACAATTTCTTATTAATAAGAACAAAGCAAAGAAGGGAGAGCACTACTCACTTGCGATATGTAAGCTTCAATATCGATTGAGAGCTGAAGGCGTATTTTATTATCATCACTCATGCCACTAGATGTCTCTGGTATAAGTGAACGTCTGCTTCTCTTTAGTTTCATTAAACTGTCCTCTGTTCGCTTTACATTACTCAGCAATTCTGATGTGACCTCATGATATCTGTAATTAAAATTAATAAAAACACATGACTGAACAAGTAAAGGGTATGTGAGTGTAATTTATTATCCTGGTGTTTCCCAGGTACATGTAGTTTGATTATGGTGCATATTTTCCCGAGTACTAAAATTTCCCTTTTATAAAATAAGACACACAAATTTTTTACTTGGTTGACATCTTAATATAGAACCCATCAAAACAACTAGCTTATAATGGTGATGGTGAAAAGGTTATTTATATGACACAAGACAAAGTGTAATGAGACTGAGATCGGCCTAAATAGTTAAACTATGACAAGAAACATTGAACTCACTTTTCAGTGACATTCTCAATAACTTGCTTCCCCCACTCATGGCCATGCCCCATTGTAACATCAATGAGAGAGACTGGCTTCAATACTGTTGATACATAACCAGAGGGCTTTGATGGGACCTTAACGACAAAGAATATATTTTCTTTTTTATGACAAAATGAAAACGGACCTCTCGATTAGTTCTACGAAAAAGACGAGGTATAGTTTGTACTGATTCCAAATTTTCAGCACACTGACGTGTGAGGCTTGAAATTACCATATCACCAAATCTGGGTACTAAAGACATCACACTATTATCACATGTTTGGAGGAAGGCTCCTATTAAATGAGCATGATATAAAGTCATGTGAAAGGATATATCCTAAAGACTGACTTGTAAGACTTAACGAATCACAAGATATTATATCTAGCTTCCCCTTCATTCCTCCGGCTTCGGAAAACACTTTGCCCTAGTTGGTGACAAAAATAATAATAAAATATAAGAATATCATTTACATACTGATGTAATATAAGGGAAATTAGTTTATAATGGCTTCACTTTCATACTATAAAAACACTGAAACTACCACAAGGAAACAAGATTACTGAGTATAAACCCACATAAAGTATACTCTTGCTAATACTTTTTTCCCAATAATAAGACAAGTGAAGGAAGGCTCTAAGAAAGATGATGAAGATGATGCTATTCCCTGCCCTACTACTACTAATGGGAGCTATGCTTACAGACTCAAGTCCAGTAGCTGTAGTTAAGCCAGTGGCATCAATCAACATAACAATAACAACAATAACTAATCACTCATCAATAGTACCAAGAGATGTACCTCACAGTCTACTGCTATCAATCCAGCAAAGCATCAACAGGTCAAGTATAGCCCCACTCCTCAATTTACTCAACATGAACCAACAAATAGGAGGAAATAATGAGAGCATCAATGAAACTGAATATTGTGAGAGGCAGCTCAAGAGATTGATTGATACCAGGACTAGTGAGGGTGGCTGCATCTTTAACATAGAATGTGACTATGACCCATTCCGTTATCCTGCTTTATTGCTAAGAGGGGCATGCAAGACACCATACTGTGGCAAAAAACCACAGAAACAGTGCATCATAGATAGGAAAAGGTTACCTGTTCTACGATACACAAAGCTGAATATTGAAGAAGGGAAAGGAGGCTACTCACAGCGAGGCAGCAGCAGTAACGACAATGGATCATATCAATGGATACGGAGTACTTATCAATATAACTCAGATTGCAGATGCTCAAATGGACTTTGATTGACTATAGTTTTTCAATATGTATTAGGCCTATTATTTCAATTATTTTAATTTTAGTATGATAAATAACATATATTATTCAATTGATCAAATGATTTCTAATTGCATATAGTTAACTTTCATAGTATTGCTATGATTCATCATAATCATATCAGAATTCTCAATAACACTTTCAGTGTTTTGATAGTATACCAATGACATGAGTACACTGAAGACTTACTCACTGAGTATACCATGTATACACACATAATCTTATTAGCAGCCCACCATGAGTGCCATTAATGTTAAAGGGTCAAACTATGCAGCTACATTTTTGTAAATAAATCGAGTTCAAGAGGATGGGCATCCACATAATTAGAATGATGTAACAATGAAACAGAAATGCTATTGAGTAATAAACTCTCTAAAATACTAGTTTATTAGCCACGGGGCGAGGAATCATTGAAACTGTGAATATATGAATAAACAGAATGACATCCTATTAATGATAAAAAGCAAATCATCTGATAAGGAGGACCTTGAAATGAAACCCAAGGCTCTTTTTCAGGTCCCACAATGACCCCTGCGCTCTGAGTCATAATATCAATAGAGTTATCAGCCTCCAGTGAATTCAAAGCTAACAGACTGATTGTGTAATGTGCTTGTGTCATTATAATTGTAGTCTATAGGTGATGTGAGAGTTAAACAGAAAGGAATGAGATCACCTGGTACTAACCACGGCACAGTACTCCCGTTCACAATAGAGACACAATAACAATGAGTGATAGAGAGAGGATATAAAAGGAAGAGAGCAGAACATGCAGTCATCCATAACCAAAAGGAAATAATTCAAGTGATATATTATAATCATTAATTGCAAATCGTTATCATCATAAAAATAATGATGCAAATATTTCTCTTTTTATGTTTTCTCTTGGCAGTGCAGGCTCAGAGTGGAAACAACACCACATCAATAGAAGATGAATGTGAAGACTATGACATCAACTGGTTCATACAGAAGTACAATTATCGTATACTGACCAAACCCTTCCTTCACATTGGGGTCAATATATCACTACCTGACGCAGCAGCTACCAAACACTGGGAGTTCAAAAAGATAATAAGAAATGCTCGTTTCCACAAACTCACGCCTCATGAGGTCTGCAATGAGTACATACCAGAACACGCTCAACAGTTCAATCAAGCCTGTGGTTGGAATTACAAATGCGATTACAATCCTCATCGGTTCCCATCATACATATTCCAGGCCGACTGTCAAGATACAACATGGAGATCAGCTAACTCTATAGTTCCTCACAAATGCCGTGCAGTGTATTACCCAATACCAGTGCTATACAGTACTGGTTGCAGTCCACTCACTAGCAAGAAGGATTGGTACTGGAAACAAGAGATAGTTACTGTGTCGTGTGCCTAATACAACAAAACTACATGTATTACGTCTTAATACACTTTATATCACTTATACATGTAGCTTGTACTTGATACTGTAGATCTTAAGGTTCCTTTTTTACTTAATTTTGTAAAATATCTTTTCTTGCCTTTAAAAAATATTTTTAAAAAGTTAGTTCATTTTTTCATGCCTGCCTATACAGTATTCTGCTATTTACAAAATGGAGTACATTGTACACCAAGGAGAGTAATCACATCAAAGAAAGTTAGGGCATAGAGGGAATGGGATGTTTCACAATGTCAATTAACAATTATTACAAACATTACCTTGTCAATAAATGACTCAATATCTGTGACAAGCTTTACACATTCAGTAACAGAAAGAGGCTACAAATTAAAAGAGCTATAACACATGGCATCATAATTCATAACTGCTAAATAACAATTAATAAAGCTTCCTTTAGCAGTAACAATTGTAATTTCAGTTCACAATCATTATTAAATCCAAGAGAACTACCTAACAGTAAACTTCTATTGCTTAAATACTTTAAATAGAAGAGATAATTCTATTTACATTACAGCAGCCAAAAAATGTAGTGCATTCTAATCCCCAACACAAAATTGACATGTTGTAATTACAGAACTAACACTAGTAAATTATAAGTCAACTGGTTCATAATACTTACATGTACATGTATGTTGCGACCCCAGACCAGAAGTGCTGTATTATGGTTGCAACATAAGTATTGTGAGCCCACAGTTCATGTCAGGGTTCCCATAGGATTTTGGCTAGTGCTCAGTCTTTGTTAGTGAATTTTAAAGTAGCTAAAAAATCTGGTCAAAAATGCAGATATACATGTAGGTGTAGGACATGGTATTTTGCCAAAAATTTCTAGGAGAGAGTTCTCTATCTTAATAAAGTTTTTTGATACATATAGACATCCTTATGATGTGTAGAAATTTTGAACTGATTCCAATCAAAAATGTATTTTTAAAAGTTGTTACAAAACTGTATTCAATTATTACAAGGCTTTTTAGCTTATGAAGCATGCTTTTTGGCTTGCTTAAGCATACTTTGTGGGAAACCCTGCTTCATGCACACAAAAATATCTTTACATGTAGCCATATAGCTAGATAAAGGGAGACCTTTCTTTATTTGGTCTAGGTTTCCTAAAAGCTTTAATTTTTAGCTTTTATAGTGCAATAATCAAAATTTGAATGACTATTAATAAAGCAACCAGCCTACATCAGCCCCACTTATGAAAGGAGAAACTATGAATCAAATTGGTAGATTGATAAAGCTTATTAATCAAAAATACACCTTTCAATGAAGCAGTGAATCCGACCAAGGCATGCAATAAATACATTATGTTAAATTCTAAGAAACTAAAGTGCATGTTCCTGTATATCGTTGTGTGCATACATTTCCGAGTCAATAGCAAACTAACATATCGTTATCAATGATACATCTAACAATACAAACAAACAGATAGTAGATGCATTCCCTCATTTTCCCTCACAATATGGTGCATGAAGTAAACAGACATTATGTACACACTGTAACAATAACATAAACATACATTTATATGCAATCAAAGAATTACTTTGTTAATTACACAAAACATTTTTACACTGTATACTGATAGCAATGTCATAATAGTTGACTTATAAAACTAGTACCAGGCATTATTTATCGTAAAATATCATCATTAAATTAATCATGAGTTATGATTATCATCATCAAGTGAAGACACACATAAATAACTGCATGGCAATGATGGCATGCATATATGTAAAGTGAGCCCACTACACTTTATGCATGCCAATTGAAGCTCTACAATTATCACAATGGTTGCCATTTTTACATCTGACACAATCCAACATACCATTGTTATCATTTGAAGTAATTTATCACTAGCCAGTAGTACCAAGGTAGAACAAAAAGAATATGTACCCAATCAATATCATCAAACGTACCTTTTGTGAGTCCAAAAGCTCCTTAAGCCATACCCCCAACCTGATCACCAGCTACAATTGAGACATGTCAATAATTATCATAATTGTGCTTCCCTTTCTCTCGGCTCTCAGCCTCTGCCCCTCCCTTCCTCCCTCCCATTACTCTCTGTCTCTATTACTACCTGTAGAGTTAGTTTCCAGAACCGATGGACAAGAGATGAGAGATATATACCATCAGACCAACAAGAGGTAATACACTCTGTCAGTACTACAAACACTTGTAATGAATAGGGGCTGTCACCATCCTTCACTGTGATAAATATAAATATTATATCACTGACGTATCAGTATAATCTACATAATGATGTCAGTTAATGTTATCTACATTCTAGAATTTAGGGTAATCTATTAGGAATTAAATTATAATGATCTGATTGACCTGCAGTGCAAACAATTAACTCATCATTATACTTACAAGGATAATAACTTTATAACCTTATCTTATCACAAGGGTCACATGTTGCCATAAATTCACACTGTACAATAGAAGCCATTCCATTGCTATAAGTATGAAACCTTAGGCTCACTGGTGCAATGGAGTAATCTATATATGGGCTTAAGTTAGGAAATGTGACAAATTACCTTCCTCCAGTGGAAGTTGCAGTGCTGATTCAAGCTGTGAAGCAATCTCTTGGAATCTAAAACAATTAATTAAATCACAAGTGAGAGGTAGTGAGTATTAATATGTGCATCTTGTAAATGACTCAGGACTTAATCATTGTACTACCATATAAGGTAAATATCTTGAGGGCAATACCAGTAATGGATAGTTACATGTAGTATTAGTTACTAAGTCAATATTATCAACAATAGTAGCTGCATCATGATATGGGACTGGATTTCTGAATGAGACTATGCTATACCATAGGCGGCGGCAGGGTTGGGCATGGACGGGCAATGCCGACAAAAAAGTTTGACCGGAAATGAAAATTTAATTAATGACATCATTTTTAGTCATGAATAATTACCATGGCTAGCAAGAGACTATCTTTTTTGCTTTCCTTGTCAACAAGCCTTCCAGGAGGACCAGGACTAGCTATAGAGCTTTACAGATAAGATAGGGGGGCATTTAGGTGCATTTTTATGCTATATCATATTGTATACATGTGTTGAGTACACGCCCAAAATACGTGCAAAGAAAGTGGGTGTGGTCAAAATTACGGCGCACTTCGCGCGCCATTTCTTGCCCAACTGCTCCTCAAGTCCTGCTGCTGCCTATGTGCTATACAAATAAAAAATGTCTCTTAGAAGTACATGTACATACAATGTACTATGCAATTTTAATGGGGTTTGGCAAAGGAATCAAAGGCTGAGACAAGTTTGTCACAAAGCATGCTAAGCGAGCTTCATGAGCTGACTAGTACAATACATGTCATGAACATGGACTTTAAGTAACACTAGGTGAATGTAAACATTGAAGGGGTGAGCATGAGCCATCGGTTGACATTGTTTGATAAGAAGATTAAAATAAAATCAATCTTAGCTCTTAGCCAGCATGCATATTCAGACCCCATCCTCATGGTTGGGGTCTGAACAGAGAAAGCACACCAGCTAACACACCCAGTAAAAAAGACAAGAATGAGTCCTGCCACTCTGAGATGTGTCAAGCTTTTCTTACAATCTTAATTCTATCAATGAGAGGACTAATCTAGAGGAGTCTTAGATCAGACTGCTATTATGTTCCTTAGTCTTTAGGATGCTTTAGATAGCCCCTCTCTATCTAGCTGTTAGAAAACTAAAACAAATTTGTCGCGTTTAAATGGTGCCATCTTGTTCTTTTTGACAACACCCTTGAAATTAATTTTGTCTGTGTGGTTCAAAATTATTAATAGTATACTGGTTTATAAACCGTTATCTTCCGTTCACAAACAAGACGTAACCTAAAATAGACCTGTAAAGATTAGAGCAGGTCTCGCTCATACTCGCCCCAATTAGCAATTTGAAAAAATTCGAATTCAATAGAAATCAATTAAAACTTGCTACATAATATAGGAACATGTATATGTATCAAAAGAAATTATAAAAATGGTGAATTCTCTTCTAATCATTTTTTGGAAAATTTAGCCAAAATTTTGAATAACTTAAAAAAATTTATTAAAAAAATCCAAGTTTAATAAGAATCAGTTTAAACTTGCTACACACAGAAAAATTATAAAAATGAAGAAGTCACTTTTGGCAAAACATACTATAGTACAGGAGCCTTGGCCTGATTTTGGTTCTAAGAAATTAATCGGAATAAGCTCAAAATTAAAAGTGCTGAGTATGTACATGTAGCTTCACTTTCAAGAAATTAATTATTACAAAAACAACAACAATGAGTCCTTATTGCTATACAAGTACACGCACATCACATTAATTCATACTATTAGTCTATTATTAGCCTCTAATTGGTCAATATACATAAAGCATTTGCTGACTGAGTACAGGATATACACATGTAAACACTAAATTTCCAATGTTATTATTATGCAGTGACAGTTAAATGTAAGCAATTCTGTAATACCTTATTTGGAAGTAAACAGGTAGACTCCATTTATTCATAAACTGATGGTAGCTGGAATGATTTCTGAAACGCTTTACTTCAGACAGTGAGTGACACTGAGACTCAAACTGATCCACAAACTCCATACTGGACACATAGTTCTAGTAAATATTAAATGCATCAATATAATGATGCATAGAGAGACATTATAGTAGATTTAGTAACAAATGTACATTTAGAGGCATATACATGAACAAGCACAAGCACATGTAATTATAAATCAAGATGCTAATACATATATCTCTATTTAGTGAAGGCAAATTAATTGTGTAGTGTACTTGTATATGAACATGCATGTACATGTACATGTCAATGACGGTACATTTTGTAATACATGTACATGTACATGTATATAAATCTAAAGATATAGTGTTCCTACATGTATATCATACATTAATTTTAAGCTTTCCCTCTCTCAACTTCCTCCTTCATTCTCTGCACTTAAGTTTAGTGGCTTTTTATTTGGCAGTTTTAATTTTGTGCACACATGGATCATTCAAATCAACAATCGGTGGTTTTAATACTACCAATTTCAAACTGAAAACTGCCAACTGCCAAAAATAAGAAAATAAGGCCCCATTCATCCATCTCTCACTCTCCTATGCCAAAATCCTGTAAAAAAACCCTGTCCAACTTTTTTCTCTCTCTCCATCATAGACGTACTTTATGAAAGTTGTCAGGATTACCAGGTGCAAATACAAGGCTAGCTTTAGCTTCAAATAACGAGACAATTTCAGGCCAAACACTGTTAACAAGGAAATCGAAACCAGATTGAGATTCTCCTCCCTCCCTGTCCTGTATTCCATCACACACTTCAATCAGAAATTGGCATTCTTTCTTAATCACACCCAACACCTGAGAATACATGCCACTGATTCCTTGAGGGTGCGTTAATACAGCCTTTGAAGATATTATCTAGAAATGAGATGAAATTAATTAATCAAAAATTAATACACACAGCCTGTTCATTATTGTATTGTGACTAGGAATGCTGATTGAATTTTTTCTTTTACTCATTAATTTTGTCTACATAGCAATCATATCAATACATGTAAGTGGAACATCATGCACAATATCAGCTACATGCAGGTATTTGTTATTTTACGACAACACTTTGTAAAGGAGTCCATTTCAATTATCATTATTGAAAAAATCTAATTTTAACAATATCATGTACATGTTATTCATTGCCACATTAACTCATTAAGCATACATTATTTCTCCTATCTGTAGTAATTAAAGTGTGCACATTAACATATTTAATGTACTTTTTCTAATGAAGGTCGAATGAAGGATACACGAAAGAGAGACTCAGCCACAGAATGGCGTGATATCAGTGAGTATATTTCTAATGTGTGAATGAGGAGTTGATGATCTTGTGATGAAACAGACTTTATAAAAAATTCCTCTAATATTGACTGAATCTGATCAGTAATCTTTCCTATTCTCTAATGATAATGATAACAAAACTTACGATAATTACATGTAGTACTACAACTATTATCAAACAAAGTATTATAATTAATAAATGCATGAATGCTCCATTTCATTATGTACATGTGATGTACAAACATTGATATCTATTGGCTAAAATAAAATGCCTTACATTACACATAACTTTACTATAAATACTTACTGGATGTAAATCCTTTATTGCCTGTATATCAGTGATCAAACTAGCATTATACTGTAACTTGTTATACTCCATAGCGATTCTATCCAATTCATTATTACTCATACTATTCAGATCAGGACTGTTCATTAGTAACGTCTCCAATAAATCAACACTCTCCATTACTATCATTAACCTATGCACAGCAACCTATAAGAATATACAGATTACAAAACTAACTCTAAATGGTATACTAATACAAATTCTTTTTTAATTCTTTTTTTTACATGGACCTATTCATTATGAAATTTTAAGTAAAAACTATAGTATAGACCTTGTCACCAAGAGCATTTTATTTAGTATTTATGTCTCAAATTTGGATGCAATATTATATAGGCGGTAGCCTATATGTAGGATTGAGGTAGGTTTTTCAAGATGGCGGCCGTTTTTATGTTTTTCAAACACTTATAACTCTTTTATCTGACGTTGTACAGCCTTATAAATGGCTTAGATGAGCTCTCCTTCACTGAGCGATTCTCCTCGTACCTTTAAAGTGGACTGTAATGTAGCGGGAGCATTTTTGGAGAATAGGCCCAAATTCAAATTTCTGCAAAATTCTTCAGACTTTTTTTTCTTCTTCTTTCATCTTCTTCTATCTCCTCTCTAATCTTTTAAGCCTGGGAAGTGCTCGAGTTGGCTTTTACATCACTCCTCTGGGCTTGAGTCAAGGACCACAAAGGTAGTTTCAAAGAGAAGCAGGACAGGGAACAAAATGGAAGACAAAATCCAGCTGCTAGTGGTGGGCGATATATCGATATTTTATCGATACAAACGATATTTTACGGTATCGATTCGTATCGGTATCGAAATTTTGAAGGAATCCGGATCGATACGTTGGCCACGCCCATTTATTATGGTTAAATAATATTAATAATGAAAATTTTAATAAGTTAATGACGTATAATACACACACGTGGATACACGTGCATGAAAACATCGATGAAAACAGTCAATAATAAGGGGTGTGACTCCATAGGTGTGGCCTAAATATCGTATCAAAACTGTATCGATACTCCCGATATGAGCTGATATCGATCGGTATCGTATCGAATCCATTTTGGCCAGTATCGCCCACCACTACCAGCTGCAGACAAGGCGTGGGTTTGTGGTTTGACGCCATTTTAATTTATGCGCACGTGATCAGCATGAATATTATTAACCTAACCACAGAATCATAACAAAAATCTAATTTATTACATTAAGAAAAAAGAATGGAAACAAGTAA